AAAAACAAACAAACAAAAAAGCCCTCTCAGGTTGGGAGTGTAGCTCAGTGGTAGAGCACTTGCCTAGCATGCATGAGGCCTTGGGTCCCATCTGCAGCACAACACAACAAAACAACAACCCCAAACCTAAAAACCAAATGCAACAATAACAAAACTCCCTATATGCTCCTGGTAGTTTTGATTGAAATGGTCCACACCAGATGAGTGGCTTTCTCCGGCAGGTGATTCTCTAGTGACTTAAAATTTAAGACCGCTGCAGGGAAGGCTAAACAAAATTTACCCTGGCAATGCTCTGAGAATATGCAGACGTCTACCCAAGGACAACCAGGAGGTGAAGATTTTGAAAACCCCACAAACACAGACTGTGCCACCTTCTGTTTCAACCCGAAATGCAGCCATACCTTTGTCTAATCACTGACTGGCAATGGAGCGTCCAGGCAGGTATTCTGGTGTCTGGGCAGCTCAGCCCGATCAGAAACAGCTGAGAGGCAGCAAAGAGATTGCTCTCTGGGAGGTGCCAGGTGTGGCAACTGGAGGTGAAGGGTCTCAGAATGTGCTGCCTAAAATGTGTCACTCTGGCATGAGGATTATTTTGAGCTGAAGACAACTGAGAAACAACAGAGGCAGGAGATCTACCCATCCTTCTCCTCTCCGTCTGAAAGCAGGGAATACACATCTCCCTTTATCCGTGTGTCTCCTTTCCCCTTTTCTGTATCAGGAAGAGCTGACGCTTGTCACCGGGGATGGCTGACTTGAATCTATATAAACAAACCTTACTAAATAATCCTTATCAATTACTGGTTTCACCTTGAGACTAACCTCCCCATAATTTAATGCTCTTTTCCTTTGTCTCGCTTGTTACTTCTTCACAATGTTGTATTACCCTCTCTTAAGGTGAGGCACTCTGAGGCTTAACTGCTTCTTGGGGGCTTTCACTTCTTTCCTGTGAAGGTTCCATGCCATATAAAAATAGTAGGTAATTTTACATCAAACACAATGAGTATGCTCTCTCCTGTTACTCTTTTGTCAGTTAATTTTCAAGGTCTCATTTCTGGAACATAAGAGGGTAGAAAAAACAAAAGATGCAAGCCAGGTACCAGGGAGAGGTTTCTTTCCTGCCCTGTATGGTCGATATTCCAGAGTGCATTCTTCAGTGGAAAATGTCTTTATTTTTCCATTATCACACACAGTTTTATCTTACAGTGCAATCCTAATTGAGAAAAACAAGCACAGCTTCTAAAACCCTGGTCTCTGTTCCCTAGATCCTTTCTTTTAAGGCCAAATAAAAGGCTATTTACTGGTCTCTACCCAGTGCCAGCAGGAGAAGATAAAGCCCAGTTATAACCTTCAAGGAGCTTATGGAGTCAAAAAAACAACCCCTGAGACATTAAACAGGAACATTTCAACAAAACTTGGAGATAAAAATAAATCCATCATGACAAGGCTGTGTATGAGTAACGCAGGACATGACTCAGGGTCCAGAGAAGCGAGCGGCCCTGCAGGCTGAAACGGGCCAGGTCTGCTTCACAGAGCAGCTGTGAGCAGGTGGGCTGTGGCAGGAGGATGTTCTGGAAGACAAGCAGGGCTAGAGCTAGTGATGACATCAGGATTTTGTTGAAGGCTGACTCTAATTGCTTTTTGCGCTTCACATTTGCCTCCGTTTGGGTAACGCATGTTGAATAAAGGTTACACCCTTATCTGAAGCGGGAGGAGATGGTGGAGTGGTGCAGGTGTGGGGGAGGAGGCTGGATTCCGGTCTCCCTGTCACCAGCATAGGCCACACAATGGCTCTGAGACCCTGGTGCAAGTGGGGACACCTCTGCCTCCACAATACATGATAGAAGAAATTGTGTTATTCATAATTTACAAAGCTGAAAGGTGCAACGGAAAGACACATGATTTATAAGAGTTGGACTCTTTCGTGCTATCAGTGGCTCACAAACAGAAGAATCACCAGCAGGACTTGTTAAAAACACATTGTGGGGCTCTGCCCTCAGTTTCTCATTCTTTGGGCTGGGTATGAGACCTAAGAATTTGAATTTCTCATAAAATTTCCTGGTGCTGCTGCTGCTGGCCAGGGGCTGCACTCCACACTGTGTTATACTGTGGATCTGGGGTGTCCCCTGCAAAGCCTCAGGCACTCAGAGGTGGGACGTGCGGAAGGTTATTGAAATATGGGGGTGGTCAGAGAGATGCATCCTTCCAGGTCACACTCCCAGTGACCACCCCTTCTGACCAGGCTTCTGACTTGCTGTTAGGAGGTGGGGCCTGTTCAGATTACGGAAGGACTGAACTTCCTAAAATGTGAGCCAAAATAAACCTTCCCTCCTTCAAGTTGTGGGTATATTTTGACCTCAGGATGAAGGAAAGTGATTAAAACACTGTAACAGGTCTAAGCCATGACATCTGATCAGTGACCCAAATCTGCTTAGGAGGTGAGAACTGAATTGATATCATAGGTGTCTGCTCAAGCTATGGCCCAAATTAAGGTGTAACTGAACTGGCTGTGTAGTCTTAAGAAAGTCTTGTTTTATTTCTCTTTAACTTTTTCATTTAAGATAATTTTAGACTTACAGTTAAGTCGTAAAAATAGTACAAAGAGTTCCCATATATTCTCCAACTTCCCCTTATGTTAACCTCTTATATAACCAGCAAAAATCATCAAAACGAGGAATTTTACCTTGGACAAATGCTACTGGCTAGACTACACTCCCTTTCTTCCTTTCTCCTCTTTTTGTGTTCCAGGACCCAATCTGAATTGCATCTTCTTGTCATTCCTCCTCCATGTCTTCCAGCCTGTAACAATTCATCGGTTTTATCTTTCATGATCTTAAGACTTGAAGAGTATTCGTTATTTTGTAGGATATCTTCAATCTGGATTTGTCTGATGTTTCATGATTAGATCAAAGTGCTATGTCACTGTGAAGGACCCCACAGACACGCTGGGCCCTTCTTAGTGTGCTGTATCACACAGCACATGACATTGGTATGTTCTCCTGTGGTGTTAACTTGGGTCATTGGATTACCATGGTGTGTGCTAGAACTCTCCACTGTAAAGTTATCATTTTTCTCTAACTACCACATATTTTGGTGGCAATCTTTTGAGACTATAAACATTGTTTTTGCTTCAACATTTTACATCACTAATTTTAGCACTTATCAATGGATCTCACGTGTGGCAATTGTTTCTTTGCTGTCACACACACACACACAATCACACACATCACCACCACCACCACCATATATGTGCAAGGATATTATATTCAAATGGCAGGAAAGCAAAAACAAAGAGAAAATCTTGGAAACAGCTAGAGGAAAAAAGCAATATTACATTCATAGGAACCAGATAAGAATCATAGCAAGGGTCTCGTCAGCAACCATACAAATTAGAAGACAGTGGTGTGACAATGGTATTCATCTTAAAGTGAAAAAATTTCCCCAACCTTTTAACACAGAATTCTGTATCCTCCAACAATGCATTTCAAAAAGTGGAGGAGAAATAAGGACTTTTCTCAGACAAACAAAAACTGAGAGAATTCATTGCCAACAAACCTACCCTACATGAAATGTTAAAAGTTCCTCAACATTTTAAAATAATGGGATAGAAGGAAAATAATCTTCCATGCAGAGGAATTTCAATTAATAAAGACAAAAGGAAGTTAGGGATATAATCACCATTAGCATACCAAAGTAAATAATTTCAAATGTTATTCCCAAACTGCTGTCAGCCTGAATGCCAGTTAACTCATACATAAGTTAAGATCATTATTTATTCCTCTTCTTTCATAAAAGATTTGGGTAGTATGAAAGTAAGTGCCTGCCTCTTTCACAATGTGTCAATGAAGGTCAAAACAGTACATTTATCAATGACTAAGCCTGAAAATCAGGGAAACGCTAGCAAGGTCGATGCTACAGCTTTCTCAAAACATTTTACTGTGTCAAAGGATTCAGTCGAATTAGCTGACATTGAAAGGAAAGGACTCAGGAAGCATAGAAAGACTGTGAGACTGTTCATTTTGGCAGGAAACTGTCACAAAGAGTGATGCTGTTTAATCACGGCCTGCTGGATATAATGTCGTCTGCACACCCCCAGCCTCAGCATGTGACCCCCACCTCCTCTGAATCCCTGCAACCCTCCCCAAGCATCACTTCATCTGATCCCTCAAAAGCCCTGCGAGGTAGCTGATGTTAAATGTTCACAACGGAGATGCAAAGGTTCTAGACCTCTCTCAGTGAGACGGACAGACTCTACTGCCCCCACCCTTGCATTCAGACCGAACATTCTGATGCCAAAACTGTGCAGTGCTATTATCTGAATGCTGTTGCCCCAGATGTGCATTTGGGTAGACCTTGACTTGATTTTAGGAAACCTCACATAAAAAACTTACTTCGGTTCTCTTCTGGTACTTTTGGCTACGTCATAGAAAAACTCTGGTGCCAGTGACTTTGCCAGCTTCCCTACACTTCCTAATCTCTGTTTGTAACAGAGAGCAAAGGCCTCAGACTTGGAGCCTTTACAAGGATATAGGATCTGACTAGAATTTGATAATATAGTTTGATTTTCATTTTGTTGATTTTTATAATCACTATATTCCCTACTTACAACAAGTCTAACATGTAGTATGACAGTTTCTTTTTAAAACAAAACTAATTACAAACAAAGTCGATAAAAATGTTAAGGAGACACAGTAGCATGGATGCACGGTGCAGCTGGGGCAAGTGGTATGGATGATGATGGTCACAGGAGAACCATGAAAGGCCAGTTCACACTGTGAACCATGGAGAACTCCTACAACTGCTCAGCTGTGAGCCATTGATGCAGCCTGAAGGCTTTGCAGTATCCTTGTTGACCTATTCTTGTCTAAGAATGACTGCAGAGACTTCCCTAAATAAGGATTCTTAGTTTTGAAAGTTTTTGCATATATCCTTCCTATTCTTCCAAACATCTGTCTGTCCATACTTCATCCATCCATCCATCCACCCATCGTTCCTGCTATTCATCCATCCATCTTTTCTTCCTTCCATCCCTCCCTTCATCTATTCATCATAAAAACAAAAATGAAACCCACACCTTTCTCCTTACACTGATTCTCAGATTTTCCCAGCAGGGAGACCCCAACCAGAGAACAAACTCATTCTCTGAGACTTTGAGAGGTTTCTCTGGAAGCTCAAGCTTAATTTTCCAAAACTTTGGCTTAAAAATTTATGCCAATTTTGGACCCCACCTAGAGGAAGCCATGTCCTTGGATATAACATTTCTCTGCAAGAATCTTCCATAAAACTGACTCCTGTTTATACTAATGGTCTCCTAGCAACACTGCCATGGTCTCTGGAGACCCACACTGGAGATGCAAGGACCTGCTTTGTGCCAGTTCCTGTAATAGGAATACAGAGATCAAGAAAGCCCCTCAATGGAGGACAAACTGGTCTCAGCACAGAGCCTAGAAGTAGCTTGGTTTGCGGTTAGAGAATAAGTGCTCTGCAGCAGCTCCAGGGTGCCTTCCTTTAAGAGGGATGCAGGCAATCATTTAAAATCTCTGACTTTGGAGCTATGCAGCTCTAAATTCAAAGTCCAGATATGGTGGGTTATAAGACTTCAGCTATGGGGCACTTCTGGTATTGTAAAGAAAACACCTGGATTTGGAAACTGGAAGAAAAAGCAACTCAGCCTGCAGAGGGCCTGGAGAGGAAGGGCACAAGGCTGTGTGGCATGGGGACCAAGAGCCCTGACCTCACCCTCTGGTGGCCTGGCTTCCTCACAGATGAGGAGCAATCTCTTGTGCCCATTCCGTGTCACAAACAAGGAGCTTGGGGGAGGTGCTTCCTAAGGGTCCTTCCAGCTCACAAGCTCTCTGCTCCTTGCCCTTTCACAGGATTTAGTGTTCAGTTTTGTCTTTTTTATGGGTCCTTCTCTTCTTGTTGCTTCTTGAAATGCTGCGTACCCCTCTCATGCTATAAAAATAACAGATATCTGCTGTCACTGCTCAAACGTTCTCTCTTGCATTTATGAAGGTCAACAGCCTCTGTTCCTGGTATGGACACTTTAGCTGCCTGGGAGGATGCTATCACTGGACTCACTGTAGTCCCAGAAAGCAGCAGCACAATGGATTAGAAAAGCCAAATTTCATTACGTGACAGTGCTTCTCCAGCCAAGACTCCATCATGATGCTCGTATCCCTAAGGCCAACGACTCTTTTTCTTTTTTCCCTGAATACAATAAATACCTGCTTAATTAGGTGCTTCTCCTCCACTGTCCATAATGAGTACCCATCAAATCGCAGTTAATAAAGTGAGAATTTATTAAATTTTTAGTTCTAATAGTCATTTTTTGGCAATGGGCCCCAAACCTTGGTAAAAATGAAATGGTCTATGTGACCATCCAAGGAGAAAATGTTACACTATGTTCTTTAGTTACAAAAGTGAGTCTCTCCTCCTACCCAGCCCTACCATCTTGTTGCAACTCAAAGGCCTGAAGCTGAATTCAGTTTTCTTATCACACTGATGTCCCAGGAATACCTTAGCTGAACATTCTGGTCTTCAAAATTAACATGAAAGGCAAACAAAAATCTGAGAGTTGTGTATTAAGAGTAGAATATTTTCCCTATCCATGGAAACACTGACAAATCTGCTCAGAAGAAAGTTCAGCCAAAAGAAGGCCCAGGCACATTCTGGAACATTCTTTTCTTTTTCTTGAAGGGGCAAGGTGAGATGGTGAATTCAGCCCTTCAGAGCCCGAGAAGAATTAGTGTTTTCAACCACAAATGAAGAATATACCTGGGGGAAATCAAGGCTTCAGTAAAACTCATCTTCCATCTTTGGAGGAAGGTGAGTGATCAATAAGGCCGTATCTTATGCTGTGTTTGTGATTCATTTTGAAAAGTCTCAATTTAGATTTAAAGAGTAAAGATAAGGATATAGGCAGGGAGGCTTCTCATTTGCCCAGACCTGGGAAGTGGCTATTGTTTGAGGTCCAGATTTTGAAATCTGGGCATGAGGAGCCAATAGGATCAGCTCCCTGGGTAAACCTAGCAAGCTTAGGGCGGAGTGAATGCCAGTCCCTCATCCTCCACCCATCCCTAGGCCTCTGTGCCCAGCAGCCACTGCTTGCTTCTACCTGTCCCCACTAGTCTCTGCCAGCCTGTTGTTCATTATTGCAAAGGCCCCGACACCCCCTGAGAATTCATCGTCTCGGGACAGTGTGCTAGTCTGGTGGGGGCCGCCATTAGCCATCTCGGACAGCTGCTTCTGGAGGATGGCCAGTGCCACCTTGTTGGAGTCCTTCATGGAGATCATCTCCCCTGAGAGGCGGCGCCCCTCCGTGTCACTCTCCATCACCCCATCCGTTTCTATGGAGATGTTGCAGCGGTTCCGGACGTTGCCCGGCATCACGGCGTTCCTCCGGGACTGCAAGAGTCTTCTTTGGCATTGACGGAAGCACCCACCACCCATTTTCCTCAGGATCCAGTTCACTGACTGTTTGATCAGGATGGAGATGACATTGAACAAGGAGTACAGGCAGCAGACGCCCATGAGGATGAAGACAAAGTTGGCCAAGCGGTAGAGGCCCTGGCTGTCATACTGGGCATTCTGGCTGCTGACCAGGTCCCCAAAGCCGATGGTGCTGAAAGCCACAAAGCAGAAGTAGAGGGAGTCGAAGTAGCTCCAGCCTTCCATGGGGGCGTACAGGGCTGACGCCCCACAGGAGATGAGCACCGAGGCCGAGCACAGGATCAGCATGACGTAGTACACTGAGGGCTTCCAGCCGGCTAGGCTGTCCGGCTCCCCCTTCCCTGGGGCCTTCAGGCTGTCCTGGGCCAGCGCCCCACGTCTCCGCAGCTGGCGCTGGTGGCACGATCTCATGATGTAGGCGATGACGGTGATCAGGCGCTCCAGGAAGAGGTTAAAGAACAAGATGGTGCTCGCGCACCCAACGAGGCCATAAAAGATCAGGAAGATTTTTCCTCCTACTGTCGCTGGAGTTGTCATCCCAAACCCTGAAGGAGACAAAAATCAGAGAGAAGAGTGAGACAGGTCTTGGCTACGAATGGAGCTAGAGTCTGGGCTCTGATGGCTTGAAGAGGACCTAAAGAAAGTTTCAGAACATCACTCAGACCTGGCCTTGCAAGGAAGGAGCGGGAGAACTCCTTTGGAAGACACTAAGCATTGTCCTGAGCATGGAGCAGGGCCTGTGTGTTGCTGCCGTGTGAACCAGAAAAAGGTACCTTGTTCTCGGGTTTGGCGATGACAATGTGGACTGCATTACAGCCTCCTCTGCCCTTTTGCTGGATATCACTGTACAGTTTGCAACCTGGACACTGCTTGGCAGATCTGGTTCAGAGATATAGGCAAAGGCTCATACAAAGAAGAGGCAGATACAGATGCTTTAGAATTCATTTATTCTACACTCAACAGAACCAGGAGAAGGAGATCTGGTCCCTGCCCTCATGAGCTCTCATCAGTAAGATGATCAGAGTGTTGTGCTATGGGATCTGCTAGGGGGAAAACATCTCAGACTTGGGGTTCAGGGAGAGCTAAAAGCTAAGAAGAGCTAGGCAGGCAAGGAGAAGGGTTTATGTGAGTGGTGATGGTGAGGGGGCATATTCAAGACAGAAAAACCACAGACATTGCATATGTAGAAATGAGAAATTTAATCAGTAGTTTTTATCTATTAAACAAAATTCTTCAAACAAATACTGCATGCTTTTGGAGTGATAACAGAGATACTGGATGCTGTGGCTTAATAAAAACATAAAGCATCTGTCGCTTTACCCTCTGCCTTTAACTGTCCACTGTTTTCACCTTTATCTGCCTGTGCACCCAGGCACATTGCTAAGAATATATATTGTAGGACAACAGACGTCACTAAGCAAATCAGTAGAACCAGCAATGGTGTACATAGTATTTCTCACCAAGGGGGGCAGTGAGGGACCCTCCCTGGAGGGATGTAGACTCCTTCCAACAAGTGACGCAGTTAGATAGGAGCAGGTTGATTTGGTGAGGGAACTGGCATGAGTCACTGAATGCAAACACCAATAAAGAAAAAAAAAACGAGTACTGGGTGTGCTTTCCTGGCTTCCATTTCTTATTCAAATCAAATGTCCTTCCTTCAATTTTTTTTCATTTTCAAGTTCAGTTTCCTTGGGGTTCCAAGGACTCACTCATTATCCTCTTTTTATTTTTCATGTTGAGACAAGAGTCTCACTAAGTTGCTGTTATGGCTCGTGTGTAGATGTCTCCCTCAAAGCCTCATGTGCTCATAGGTGGGGTTTTTCAGAGGTGGCTTGGTCTAGCGTGTGTGATGCTGGGATTGATTCATGGTGCAATACTAGGATCAAGGGCACTAGGATTAGGGGTGTGAGTGCTGCCTCCCCTAAGTAGCCTAAATACTTGGTCAACCCTTGTTGCTCTGTTACCTTCTGCCCACCATGAACTGTTTCTCCTCTAAAATGCCTGTCTGCTGTGCCACCCTGCCTTAGAGCCAGCTGCTTATGGACTGAAGCTTCTACAAACTGTGAGCTAAATAAATCTTTCCTCCTTTGGGTATCTTGTCTCAGTAATGAGAAAAGTAACTAACATGGTTGCCCAGGGTGGGTTCAAATCTATGATCCACCTGCCTTACCCTCCCAGTGCGTGGGGATTACAGGTGTGCGTCATCACTCCTAGATTCCTTTGTTTCCTCATTTCCTGATAATCCCCACTTTGTTCCCAAATCACTCCTTCTCCATGTTGCTACAGCTTAGTCAGTGACTCCTGACACTGTTCCCTGGGAGAGAGCCAGATCAGATTCAGAAGTGTATGGGCTTCTGGGAGTATGACCTCCAGGTCTGCCAAGGTCAAGCCAAGGGGCCACCTCTCCCAAACACCTAGATGTGCACAGAATATTACCACTTAGTTCTCCAGTTAAATTTGATTGTCCCTTCTTGGCACACAGAGAGCTGCATTGAAGTGGGAAATTCATAGCATGGAACCAAGAGAATCAAGGAAAATCCTGAGTTCAGATTTTTAGCTGGGATGGAATAGAATGCATGGGATGATTTGATAAAGATGGATCAAAGGACAGGGAACAGTACTTTAAGAGTTAGTTATGGCCTCCAATGGTAGGGAGAAAACCAGACCCTCATCTCTTCTTTAAGAATTCTTGTTTTCACAATCAAAGGCCCCTCAGCTACTCTTTGTGATGTAGGTTCTTTTTTTTTTTTTTTTTTTTTTTTTTGTTTTTTGAGACCGGTTTTTTTTTTTTTTTTTTTTTGGTTTTTTTGAGACAGGGTCTCATTATGTAGTTGAGACTGACTTGGAACTCACTATGCAGCCCAGGCTGGTCTTGAACTCATAGTGATCCTCCTGCCTCAGCCTCCTGAGTGCTGGGATTACAGGCATGTGCCACCATGCCTGGCATGGTGATGTAGGTTATTTCTTTACATAAAGAATATTTATGTAAAGAAACACACTGTTTTTGTTGTATTTATTTTCTTAGGATCTTTAATTCCTATCCCTAAGCACAAGTTGCAATGAGGTGGTTGAAGTCATGAAGAACTGATTTTAATGACTGGAGTGAATTGAGTTAAGCCAGGAACAGTGTTTCTATTCCATCTAAGGAATAACTGCATGTTGAGCAATTAGTCTCTGATATTCTGAGAAACTTGGGGGTCATCTCCATTGTCTCCATGAGTTCTTGGAACCAGGAAAGCTTGCAAATGTTTTATCACTAAGAAGGTAGAAAAATGTAGACCAGAGCCCGCCGCTCCAAAGCTGTAAGGCAGTGAGTATATTGTTGCTCTACTCACTGAAAATAGACTGAGGCAACACACAGAAATGGGGGAACACTTATCCAGGGCCATCTGTAAATCCCATAGGATTCCTGAAACCAGACAGAGTTAAAGAAAATAGGAAGGTTCAGAAACAAAAAGTGGGGCGGGGGGCCCTTACAAGCGATCAGAAGAGAACTTTGTCATGTGTCTGCCTTGCTGGTCACAGAGGTGATGTGGTTACTTCGTTCTTGGGATGGAGAGTCACAGGAGTTGTTTCAGATTCTCTCCCAGCCATGGGTAACAGAGATAACCGACGGAACACCTGTTCAGTTCAAGGTCCTGCACTGTCTGGGCCACCACTATGATTTGAGTGTTTTTGTGTTCCCACAAGTTTATATGTTGGGATCCTCAACACAAGGTAATAGTATTACAAAGGGGACCCTGGGGAGATGATTAGGTCATGAGGGTGGAGCCCTAGTGAAGGCATTACTGTCACTGTGAGAGAGACCCAGGAGAGCCCCTCACCCCTGTGTGAGGACACAACAGGAACGCCTGGGAGGAAGCTGGAACCCACCAGATGTTGAGTCTGCAGGTGCCTTGACCTTGGACTTCTCAGCATCCAGAACTGTGAGCAATACATTCCTGTTCTTGATAAGTCACCCAGCAGCCTGAAAAGACTAAGACAGCCATACTACAATGACTTCACAAGGCCCTTGGCCTCAAGGAGCCCAGAACCCAGGCCTGGGACAAAGAAACTGCTATCTATAAAGTGCCACAGTGAATCAAGGGCCAAAATATCCTGTGGACTTAGCTTCAGGGTCCCTATCACACCCTCACTTTGGGCCGAGTGACTTAGGCACCTTCAGGTGTATTGCTGGCCTCAGCTGACAAGTTTGATGAGCTAATTTTTCCAATGAGTGTGGCTTCTAGTGACTTGTGACAGGATCCACAGATTTCAAATGTCTAGATTCTGTTTTGCTTATTTAGTTTTACAATGCTCCATTTTATTAAAGAAGGGATAGAGCCAGGGATTTAGTTCAGTGGTTCCGCCACCTGCCTCGCAAGTGCAAGGTCCCCAGTTTGATCCCTGGTACCAAAAAACAACAACAAAAAAAAGAAGGGATAATCATCGCTTCTGGTTACTTACTGTACGAGACTGATAAGGCTCTGGTTAATTAGCACAAACAACAGAAAACAACATGAGTAGGGGTGTTTGTAGAAGCAACTAAGACAGTTTCCTTCCTTGCTTGTTCCTCCAGTGCTTGTGGCCCGAAGCGTTTCTATAGCTTTTACTACTCTGAGAGCTCAGAAGTGTGTCAGCTAATTATGTGGGCTTTTCCACAGAAAGACCCCACCACCACCTTCCGTCTCATCATAGCGAGCATCAGATGTCTTGGATTAAGGATGATGATACTTCTCAATGTTCTTCCTGGTGGGGTAAAGGGATGCAGCACAATTACATATGGTCCTCACAGTTAAATCCCTGTAACTGATTTTATAAGGAGAGACCAGAGGAAACTCACGTGCACCCTCCCTGTCTCCCACCACGGATGCCCTGCACTGCTTTGGGGCTGCCAGCAAGGTCATCACCAGATGCAGCCTCTAAGCCTTGGATCTCCAGAACCACGAGACAAGATAAACCTTTTTTCTTTATAAGGTAACCAAGCCTCCAGTACTTTGTTAGAGTAATGGTTAACAGACTAATACAGAGGGGAATGGGGTATTACTACGCTACGAATCCCATTTGAAAAAGAAAAGACTATGGGAGCTAAATAATTTGCCTAGAGTCATAAGGACAGAATAAGAACCTAGATTGCATTGCCTCTGAGACTCCTACTCTTCCTACTGGACAACAGCCACTGACAGGTGCAAAGCTGTAATCAGAATTGAAAGAAGGAAATTAACAAACTGTTGATAGTTCCATACTTTATATAGACACCCAGACCATAATGGCTGCCAAATCTGGTGCCTAAATCAGGGGTGGGGGATTAGCAACAGAAGCTGAAAACTTATAATAATTTTCACTTACTAAAATACATGCTTCTGAATGGGTCTCTTCTAACAAATGATGTAATTAAATCAGTTTGTAAATCTGCTACACCCCATACATTTCTGCCCACCCCCTTATTTCCTTTATTTTGCAGACATACAAATACAGCGGACTGTTGTAAGGAGAACTTTTTATGAGTAATTTATTCCTTACGCTTCATGCTTGAGTCTGGGGGCAGCGGAGCTGACCAAGGCCC